ATTTTTGAAACTTTGATAAGTTTTTAATATTCTGTTGTACAAAATGGTTATTAAAGTATATTTACGTTATATATATATTATACTTTTTTTTACACCTCCCTAAAATGTTTTTCTTGTTATATTTGTCTCGTTCTGCGTCTGCGTGTCTCGTGTTATGTTCTAATTCCAACCGATTCTCCACCTTAGGCAGTTGTATATTGTTCGTTTGCCTGAAGTGGGCCTAAAGCTGAAACGTTGTAAAATAAATCCATTTAGTAAGAGTGCAGAAAGCATTTTTATCTAATTCTTTTCGTTGTTTAATTCTATTAACAAAAAAGAAATGTTCATTTTGAAAATTAATAAAAATCTTGTTTGATTTATCAGTAAACTGGTACCGTTTAGATTATTCTAAATGCGCACCAACAATTGGAGATTTTTCTCAGTATTTTCAAACTTACTAGATGTGTCTCTGTGTATATATATATATATGTGTGTGTGTGTGTATACATATATAAGTAATTATTTGTGGAAAGCCCCCCCACTGGCTTAGTCTTAAACTTGAGACAGTTTAATGCTAACAATTGGAATTCGATACTAATGAGAACCTTAGCGCAGAAAGCCAATTATGGAGCTCAGCGCTTAAGAGCAAGCAAACAAATTTATGAAAACTTAATTTACGTTCCCTGGTACCATTCTATTAACGTAAGAACATGACGCATGTTTATTAAATTTCGTCAAAAATCAGAAACATACGATTTTGGGGTGGGGGGGGAAGAACGGTAAAATGTTTCCCTATTTTCCACTGTTAGTGGTGTAATTTATATAAGCACCAGTATTATGGGGACATTTTGAGCTACTATTTTTCTCCGATGTTTATTATTACTATTTGCTTTTAAATTTAAATATAACACTCTAAGGCCCCCAATAATCTCCTACGAAAACTTCTCGTGCAAATTAGATTCTTAATGCATTTTACCAGTTAATCTCTATTCGATTTTGATTGGTAAAAAGTAAAAGAAACTAAAAATCTGTTTCCACTAACATGTTTACAAGGTGATCAACTAGAACTTTCAGAAAGTTATTGTGGTATGCACAAACATCGTCATGAAGTTGCATCAGATCATTCACATCTATAAACACAAAGTTGAATATATCACCGAAACTCGATATGAATTCTTAATTTTTATTATTTTTTTTACAGAAATTTACGTCAAACTAAGTACCTAAGCTGATTCGTGTTGAAATCATAACAAAAAAAATATGTATATATTTCTTAACTGAACTCTGCATGTGACTTATAACTTAATAGTCTACTTGTATAAGTACAGAGAAAGTAGTCCACAATGTGTGTATAAAGATATAAAAAGTAGTGCACGATGTCTATCTCAGACAAAATCGTTTTACACGTTATATAAGACTAAATATGCAATTAATAGTACCAGTTATTTAGATGGTGTTATCCCCACTGGAAACCTTATCTACCATTGTCTTATATACTAATAATATTTCACATGTACCTGCCTGTCATAAAGAAAAAATGATAATATTGTATAATAAAGAAGCTAATTAGAAAGAATTACGCTCTTCTATGTTTTATGTATTTATTTGAACTCTCTACATTTTTTTAGTTTAAAACTTTTCAACTAACAGATCTTATGAAGCACGATTCCCGTGACATGTTTGATGACGTACGAGTGGTTCTACAGTGCAGAATTTCAAGGTTGAGGATGTTTGTATAGTTTGGTGAAATGAAATAGTAACAAATAGTAATTTAAGTCTCTTTATAAAAAATCTTGCATAGTATTAACTATACTATTCGTTGTCTAATTTGTTAAAGATATTGTTTTCTCTAATTTGTTAAATACATTGTTTTCTCTAATTTTTTAAATGTATTGTTTGTCTCTAATTTGTTAAAGATATTGTCTTCTCTAATTTGTTAAAGGTATTGTTTGTCTCTAATTTGTAAAAGATGTTGTTTTCTCTAATTTGTTAAGTTGTTGTTTTCTCTAATTTGTTAAGTTGTTGTTTTCTCTAATTTGTTAAGTTGTTGTTTGTCTCTAATTTGTTAAAGATATTGTTTTTCTGTAATTTGTTAAAGATATTGTTTTCTCTAATTTGTTAAAGATATTGTTTTTCTCTAATTTGTTAAAGATATTGTTTTCTCTAATTTGTTAAATATATTGTTTGTCTCTAGTTTGTTAAATATATTGTTTTCTCTAATTTGTTAAAGGTATTGTTTGTCTAGTTTGTTAAAGATATTGTTTTCTCTAATTTGTTAAAGGTATTGTTTGTTTCTAATTTGTTAAAGATATTGTTTCTCTCTAATTTGTTAAAGATATTGTTTGTCTCTCATTTTGAACAGATAAACTATAGGAAGAAAACAGTCAGTCAGTAGCACTCAATACCACCTCTTGGACTACTAACTCTAGTTTGACCGAATTGCCGAATTTGATCGTCATTTTGAAGCGCATCCAAGGTAGAAAAGTGCGAAACGCATTTTTGGAGCAACGGGTCAGATCCATCATTCTTCGGACTTACAGTCACGCACTCTAACAACTAGGACACGCCTGTTAAAAGTGATTAGAAAAGCATTTTGGAGGCTTATTGAGATATTTGTATACATTAAACTGTCATGCAGTCCTAGAACATTTCATCCTCAAAACTGCTCGAACTCCAGGACCTGTTGATGAAAATTCATATACCAACCCTTTCACCCGATATCTGGTATTCGACTGATCTCATTTGTTAAGCCCAAATCTTAAGGCGTAAACGTCTTGCTCATTTGCGACTAAATACATTTGGTGTGTTAAACTGTAACTTGAAACATGGTTTCAATGTTAGTTAATTATCTAATCATTTTCACAGTTTGATGCGTGCAATTAGTTTACAAACAGTATTGTCTAAACACTAAACCAGTCTTTACACATATGCTTTAACATGTATGTTGTAACTGACTGTATGAGTGTATAAACATGTACACGTCAAATTGCGCATGCTGTACTCCATGATGAACAAGTTATGTTGAAATAAACATTAACGAAAATTTAAAAACTTTGTTTGCTTGTAGTTGAGCATAAAACTACACAATGGTCTATCTGTGTTGTCCCCAACACGGGTATCGAAACCCTACTTTTAGCGTTATAAGCCTTCTGACTTACTGCTTCGCCATTGGGAAGCAGTTTAGAAGAAAAAACTGGTTACTATCTATCTATCCATAACTTTATTGAAGTGCTCGTGTACGTCATAACCATACCTCTATAAATCCCCTTTTAATAACTATCTTGCACCTTAAAATAACATTGTACTGAAAGACAGGGCTACTGGCCGTTCAGTAACTTGAGTTTGTTACGGTTATGCTAAGGATGTTGGGCTGCTGTTGACCTGGAGGTAGATATAACCGCTCGTGGAATTAATGTTTATGAGTGGTTCAAAAAGGAGTTCGTTTGCATCCCCCGAACCCCCCCTCCCTAGCCGCTATCCTAGGTGTTTACTGAAAAACAGAAGTTATACGAGCCTTTTCGTGAGTAGCTTCGTAGCCAAAAATATACATTAAGCTGGGCGAATACATTTTCATCGAAACTTATATAATTATACTATAATAAAGCTTACTGACCTACGGTTGCTTCATAAGCTTGTTAGTAAAATCTGATTATGTTGAAACGTATATGATTACTACCAGTGTTACTATGGTTACGTGGCTATTCTGACGTCAAGCAAAAGTTGTTTTGCTCATATGATTACATTTCATTTTCAGTCCAGGCAAAAAAGCGTCAGAAAAATTTCTTAATAACTGGGTCTTCTAGCTATCGATTTTGGTAAACATCATTGCTTACAACTGAAATATTCCTTAATTCTTGGTAATTTGAATAGAAATAAATTCATTACATCTGTATATTAAAAGTTAGTAAAAGCTCACATATAACACAACAGAATTGATGATTCAGAGCTGAGTATTATCATGGCATTATATTTATGTCGTGGAGAGCACTTATTTATATGTTTGTTATTAAAACTACATAATAGGCTATCTGTGCTGGGCACACTATGAGTATCAAAACCCTATTTTTACCGTTATAAACTCTCTGACTTACCACTGAAACACTGGAGAGCTAATATAGATTTGTTTTTAAAGTAATCGAGTTATTAATACAGGATTATTTTAAAATACCTCTGAAATGTTAGGAAAATAATCTTTAGGGTTTGTTTGTTTGTAATTAAGCACAAATCTACACAATGGGTTATCTGTGCTCTGCCCATTACGGGTATCGAAACCCAGATTCTAGCGTTGTAAGTCTGCAGACATATCGCTGTGCCACTGGGGGACAATCTTAAGGGAAACAGAATAGTAAGTATAGAGAAAATAGATATAAAAAATAGATTTAAAAATAGATATAACGTAACTCATCTATATAAAACTGAATTATGTATTCGTCATTCTGACTGGTGTATTGACATCAGAAGTTCGAGTGGAGAAGTGGCTGAATTCATTTTGATTAAATTTAGTTGAGGAGCTCAAGTTGACTCTCAAGAGTCGCGTTTAAATTGATAATCAATCGAGGGAAGGGCTCAAAATAGTGAAAGGGGCCGGCCCGCGCTCCCATTTAAGCTGTAATTTGTACAGCCAGCATTGCTTAGAACCTTTGCTGGTGTATATGATAAATAGATGCGTCATGACTTCTGTTTATATTTCCTTTACAAAATTTCTACTCAGATATTGGGGTAAAACGTTTAAAAGTATTTTAGTTCGGAATATCGTGTTAAAACGTTCTGAAGAACCAATTGATAACAGTTTGTTGTCTGTGATTCAAATCCTTACAGATGTGTTATAATAAAACGAGTGTTTACAATTCTTCTTTCAAAATATCTTTTTTTTAATAGCCGTTACACGTTGCTATTGAATGTCCCGTGAAAATATCAGTCATGGTACTTAAAAATAATAATACAAACCTGATTGAGAGATTATTGAACCAGTTTTAATGAAAATGTTAAATTGGTTATATATATATAGATATATATCCTTGAAATGGTGGCTTGTAATACACTGGTTTCACATACTTACAAAGATATTGAAGTGGATATGTGACACTTGCCGTGATATCTGATGACAAAGATATCGCACCATACATACTCCTGTCCTTCAGCGTTATCACCAAGGGATCGGGAACTGACGTCATCAAATTAAAATTCTGAAGTATGACTTTAAAAAAGGGCGTATTTAGAACGTATTAATGGTATACGTACTACGAGTGACTATTTAAGTACAGAAAAAACACACAAAATATCTAAGCCACCGATACCATCTAGCTCTGGAAAGCGAAGTAGTTGGTGTGAAGCCTTTAATCCATAAGATGATATTCTACTTTTCCGCTCCATCTGTCCAACATCAGTTTCATTGACTCTGACTCCATCTTCTATCGTAGTAAAGCATAGTGTATCTTTGCTAAACATTCCAACTCGCCTTTCTTTTCAAATATGTAGAAACGTTTAGTTTTCTTGCCAATTCTCCACTGCAGCCTATTGTACATTAAAACAGATAAGGACTAGTGATTTTTGCTTTGCTTTTTGAACTGCTTAACTTTATTTCATCAGTATATGCTAAAGAAATTTCTTACAAAAGAGGTAAGTCTTATGCAATCACGCATGCGCCTCTTGAACTTCATAGACGCATACAGGATAGTTATTTTAAAAATCGGTTTATTCAAAATTTAATCTATAACATTAAATATATTTTGTTTACAGATATAATGAAATAAAAAATCGTAATATTTTATATTTTTTTAAGCATAGGAACTTACCGTCGTCTCAGTAGTTTGATTTGAATTTCGCGCAAAGCTACACTAGAGGGAAGGCAGCTAGTCACCATCACCCACCGCCAACTCTTGGGCTACTCTTTTACCAACGAATAGTGGGATTGACCATCACATTATAACGCCCACATGGCTGAAAGAGCTAGCATGTTTGGTGGGACGGGGATTCGAACCCCCGACCCTTAGATTACGAGTCAAGCGCCTTTCTCAATAGTTATTATCCATCAGCCAGTCATTGCAATTCAACCACAAGCTTTAGCATCTATAAAAAGTAGCTTCTTTACTTAAATAATTACATTTATTTCGTTCTCTTTTGGAAATACTAAAAAATATATATATAATTGCATTGCTATATAGGGATACCACAATTAATGTCGTCAAATACTCTATTAGTTTATACAGGTTGCCCCTATTTACGAGAATCACTTTCGTAACACTCGGGTTAACCTCCAAAGCTATATTTGACAGTAATGGTAGTGTCATCTAGGGGACATCATATTCTACTTATTTATATTATAGACTTCACGAAATAACTAATCACTAGTCAAATTCAGACGAATTAAGACTTTTTAACTAAAAATCATAGTCAGGATTAAAACATGAGCTACTGCTACTGTACTTCAACACACAGTCAGAAAAAACACAACTTCATAGCTGGTAGATCTGGTGTACTTCCTAGGTAAATAAATGAAAAGCGTAGTAAGAACAGAGAAACATGCTATGGAGAGTGCTCACCACTTAGCCAGACTACGATAGTGATTCTCTTGGAACTTCAGATGATATTTCAAATCAGAAAATATCCTCAGTGACTTGGAAAACAAGGATCACGATGCCCTTTCAGTCATTGTTTTTCAATTTATTTGATTGTTCTAATTTTGCAGTAAATCAAGTGGTAAATACAAAAGGTTGAGTTCGTATCTCCCTGTAAAATACTACGTGCTAGCTAAGAAACCAAAGGCTATTAAGCTTTTTCAATTGAGTTTCAAAGTCTTAGCTACCATCTTCAGTCATACGAATTGCTGATGTACTAAATATCATATCTATTCACTCCAGCTGTCTTACCCATGCAGTGTAGTACATACACAGTATTTCATATTAACACTTGGGAGCTTTGGAAAACAAGGGTTGTGACAGCCTATCAGTCACATGAATGTTCTAACTGTTGATGATTGATTGATAATCCTACAATGTAGTACGTACATTGTATCTTAATATCACTCAGTAGCTCGAAAAGTAAGGGTCACAAAGCCCTTTCAGGTATTGATTTCTCAATCAACCAATTGTTCAAACAGTATAACGAAGTGGACATCACACAATGTAGTGCATACGTTATTCATTATGCGTCACCTGATAACTTGGAGGGGGAAGAACGTTACTTTCTTTTAGTTTGTGATCATGCAGATCAACAACTATCCTAACTGTCAAAGATCAAACAGTAATAATCTGATATCCAGTGTATATTTCGTTCTGTGAAACTCTGTTCACTAGCTCTAAAATCAAGGATCACAATGTCCTTTCAATCACCAGTCAAATATTCTGATGATTTAAAATCACGTAATATGGGGCCTACATTGTTGTGTGTGCAATGCCTGGTAGTTTTGAAAGCAAGAAACACCACTATCTTTCAATCTGTTATTGTGCAGATCAGAAACTGTCTTAGCTTATGATTGAGAGGTAACCCTACATTGTATTGCATACATTGTGCCTTACAATATTACTCAATGGTTGGGAAAGCAGGGATCATGAAACCCTTTCAGACAGTGATTGCTTACTATCTGAACATTCTACCTTATGATTTAAAATCAAGTGGTAAACACAAAATGGATGGCTTATATCCCGTGTGAAATATCGTCTGATAACTCAGTCTAGTGACTATCTTTATTCCTACTTATGTCAATCAGAAGGTTAATGTCGCCGTCTCATCTGAAATTCGGAGCTTTTTGCCACTCCTATCTTCAGCGAATCCTTTTCTGATTTCTCAAGAACTGTCAAATAAGTTTCTTCAACTCCTTCTCCCTCGTCAGATGAGATGCTATGAGTCGTTCATATGTTTGATGGCATTCAGGACTCATAATCAATCATTGGACTACTTGCTTCTGAGTCCAGCCATTCCAGGAAGTTACTCCAAAAAACGGTCCATATCTTCTTTTGCCACACCTCTGAACATTATGGCAAAATCTGTTTGGCTTCACTTACAGGGAACTGTGGTGTTTGCAAAAGCTTCTCATCTAACACACTGCTAAG